CTGGGAAAGTACGTAAATATGAAAACAAGAAATATACAGCATATATAATATAGCAGTTATGACGATCGTATTTATACTGCGCTAAGCCCAATGGGTCAACACATACTTCAGACTACAATGATTTTTAGGGTGAATTTGGAGCCTTTTAAAGGCCACTTCCAATTAATGATTTCTGCTGAAATTCATGTTTTGAGTGTGTGATATTTTCCCAAAGTCACAAAAAAGGGCACAGGCCCCTGTGGATAGAAAGTAGAAAGATCTTTGGCCTCAAAGTACAGGGTGGGCTTACTATAGGATAAAGAAATAGCTTTGTTGGTGTTTTTACTGAACTGCAGTAGATAGGCATGGGCTTATTGCCGGATAAATATGGTAGAGAATATTTTGTGTAAGTCCGCACCTGTGCACTATGAATAAATGTTTTTGAGCATATGTATATATCTCTACAAATTTGAAGATAATAACCAGAAAATTCAGTAATGTTACAAAAATAAACACAATTTAAAATAAATGAAATCAGATATAATTCACTCTTCGTGTAGTCTTTTCATGTCCCATGGTATTAAGTGTCTGTTTGTCTAATACTGTCTGTGAAATACTGTCTGTCTTCACAAAATTGTTGATTTTGATGAGATCTGTATATAGGGTACCACAGTGATGGGAGTCGTTGTCCTGTGTATTTAACGTAGATATATAATAAAATTTATATGAATTGTCATCGCCTACGGGATCATTCATATATCATAATTACACAGATGTCATTAATTCTTTACATTAGCATAAACCCTTTTTGTCAGCATCATTAATTATCTTCTCCATAGCCAGGGCTGTAAAACAGAGCCATGGCCACGAACAGTTCAAGTATAACCTATGTAGTAAACTTTTCATCTTGTGTTCAGCTCAGCTTAATTTAAATTGAAGCTTTATATACATTTTATTGATATTAAATAAGCATATAAAGGTAAGAAAAAAATATTAACAATATTCACACACATACATACACACAGAACCCTATCATGGAAGGACATTATCTGTCAAGATGTCGAGGTACCCATCCTCGAAACACGACAGATACAGAGGTACCCATCCTCGAAACACGACAGATACAGAGGTACCCGTCCTCTAAACATGACAGATACAGAGGTACCCTTCCTCGAAACACGATAGATACAGAGGTACCCGTCCTCAAAACACGATAGATACAGAGGTACCCGTCCTCGAAACACGACAGATACAGATGTAACCGTCCTTAAAACACGACTGATACAGAGGTACCCTTCCTCGAAACACGACAGATACAGATGTAACCGTCCTCAAAACACGACTGATACAGGGGTACCCATCCTCGAAACACGACCGATACAGAGGTACCCTTCCTCGAAACACGATAGATACACAGGTACCCGTCCTCAAAACACGACTGATACAGGGGTACCCATCCTCGAAACACGACAGATACAGATGAACTTGTCCCCGAAACATGATTGGGTTGCACAGGTTCCCATCCTCAAAACTCGACTGATACAGAGGTACCCATCCTCGAACCACGACAGATACAGATGAACTTGGCCTCGAAACATGATTGGGTTGCATAGGTACCCATCCTCGAAACACGACAGATACATATGAACTTGTCCTCGAAACATGATTGGTTTGCACAGGTACCCATCCTCAAAACACGACTGATACAGGGGTACCCATCCTCGAAACACGACCGATACAGAGGTACCCTTCCTCGACAAACGACAGATACAGAGGTACCCTTCCACGAAACACGACAGATACAGAGGTCCCCGTCCTCAAAACACGACAGATACAGAGGTTCCCTTCCTCGAAACACGACAGATACAGAGGGACCCATCCTCGAAACACGACAGATACAGAGGTACCGATCCTCGAAACACGACAGATACAGAGGAACCCTTCCTCGAAACACGACAGATACAGAGGTCCCCGTCCTCAAAACACGACAGATACAGAGGAACCCGTCCTCGAAACACGACATATACAGAGGTACTCGACCTCAAAACACGACAGATACAGAGGTACCCGTCCTCTAAACATGACAGATACAGAGGTACCCGTCCTCGAAACACCAGGGGTGGGGCTCACTTGTGCTCTCTGCCACCTGGAATATGTCATGACAAAATTTTAAGGCTCAGTGTGCACCTCCTTTTTGATGAGACAAGAACACTAGTTTAATACTTTGATCTACATCAAAAGAATTGTCGGTCATGTAACAGTAAAATTGACTGACTTTGTAGTTGGATGTCACTCCTCGGTACTCTTCAAAGGCCCAGGTATTAGCCTAGCGATTGGTCTGATTTTTTTACCTGAGACCAGTCTGATAGCTATCTTTGTGCTGTGAATTTTGCTATGACATGTATTACAGGAATGTTGAGAGTGTAAGTTAGCATAACCCCGGGAGTATCGAGGATGAATACAGAGGTACCCATCCTTTAAACACCATGGGTTGGGCTCACTTGTGTTCTCCACACCCCTGGAATATCTTCTGTCAAAATTGAAGGCATGTGGCTAGCTATTTGATTGGTTTCAGGTCAAACACACTGACCAATCGCTAAGCCTGATACGGTTATGCTGGTAAATTTCGGATTCTTTAGATTTACATAAAAACATCTAAGTATTAATCTAGTCTACTTATATTATCCACAAGGTGGCGCATACAAAGCATTTGATTTTGTCATGACATGTTCTAATTAAGAGTGCAGAGTAACCCCTGGAAGTTCAAGGATGGGAGGTACATGTACCTCATGTGGCCAAACATTCGGTCAATATTGTTTTTGTCGGAGAAGAGGGATTTTATGTGGTCAAATGTGGTACTGTACTCATAAGAGTCAGTCAGGACAAAGTGGTGTTGGTGATATCCAAGTATCAAACAACCCTTCTATACCTTAAAATAAATGATTAACATCAGTTGTTAAAACTTTAACTCATTCACCCCTGAAGACACATTTGAACTCTTCCAATTCACAGGTTGGAATAGTGCATTATGAAGTCTCAGGGGTGAATGAGGTAATGTATATATTTGTGGCTTCAGTGATTTATAAAAAGGAGGAAAATAATAGGTTTATATGATGTGCAACGTTGCATAAGTAGGCATGTATTTCTAAGATATATGATATTTCCTGGGTAGGTGATTTACCACCCAGGTAGGGGCAAGTTTAATAAACCATGGTGTAATGTGGGAGTCAGCAAAATTTGCATCATACTTTTGTGTCAACAGTGACAATGAATTTTAAAAATCTCAATTCGTAAAATGCTAAACTTACTTGTGTAATGCCCACGTTCATTGTCAACATACATACATGTATCCTTACCCAGTTGATGTTCAGTTATGTGCAAAATGAATTTGAAGTAGGTTATAATATATCTACGGAAACATTGCAATGGAATTCTTTGATGCTTTGCCTGCAGTTGTACAGCCTAGGGATCCTTAACTCATTCACCCCTAAAATTTCATAATGAACTATTCCAACCTTTGAATTGGAAGAGTTCAAATGTGTCTTCAGGGGTGAATGAGTAAAAAGTGAATGAAATGTTATCTAATTTAGTTTCAAGTGTGTTTGTTCACTGTAATGAGCATTTGTTACAAGTACCCACACTTGTAGGTATAGTAATAGGATAGTCCCTGCTAATGACAAAAATTGAAATACGCTATTAAAATGAAGTGTCCCTAAGTTGCCAGGAAGAATGTTGCCTTGTTATTTCTATAAAAAACTAAACATAAAAAACCTAGAGTTCTTTTCCTAAGATTTGTAATAAAAATTATGTAATGTGTTGCTCCAAAAGGGATTTTTTTGAAGCCCCTAGAGAGCATTTAAGATGGCATGGCTATGAACAAATTTGTCGGTCCATCGACAATTAGGGCCAGAATAATGTTTTTTTTGTATGGGCGACCATTTGAGGAATCAAAATTAAAATCATATAAAAGTTGTATATCTTATAAAATCAACAGCAGGATATATGCTTGATTAACCCTTTCACCACTGTAGACCATAATGCACCCCTCCATATCAATGCATGGTAGAGTCTACTAAAGTTACATAGGGGTGAAAGGGTTAGAGAGTTAAAATAGTGCAAGGGGGTAAAAAAATGAAAATTTAGTAAAAAATATTGTGTGAAGATTTAAATGGAAAGAGATATATGTATGAATGCTGTAAAAAGAGTGATAGAGGGAATATTGGAATCACAGTTTATAAAACAGAACATTGTCTTAATGCCTCCAAGTCTACGGAAGTGAAAAGGGTTTTCATGTCCGTGACATTGAAGTGTTTGTCACGAATGTCTCTAAAATCTGAACATTACATTAAAACATGTTCCACTGTAATTGTAGAATAACATGCGTGGCATGTAGGTGTCTCCCCTATTTAGCAGATAAGTGTGAGTGAGATAAGTATGACCAGCTGTATGGAGCCGACGGAGCACAACCTCCTCCCTGAGGTCTTGTTTCTTAAAATTAAAATTAATTTGGAAAATCAAATATAAAAGAAAACATAACTTTGTTGTATGTATTTTGGTTGTAAACATGTTTACGTTTTTTTACGGAAATATACGATACGTGGCAGATGAAATTGAGTGTGTCCATACATAGAATTATCAGACCCACCAGTGAATAGCGACATTTGTTTACGAGAAACCCCATGACCCAAAATATGTGTTTATTGTCAGCAAACATTACTATAGACTTAATTGAAAATGAATCACAAAACAGAACGTAACATGTATGTTGGTTGAAAACACGTTTCAACTTTTTACAGGGTATTTTACGTGTATGGCAGGTGAAATTGAGTGCCCCATATATTAGTATTTAATTGCTTTCGAAAAGTGATGTTTATGAGGATGTCCAGGGGGACCCATAGCATTTGTATGTGCAGCAAAATTTGTTAAAAAAAATTTGAAAACAAGACATTAACAACAATTTTGCTTTACATATGTTGATTGTAAGGATGATTTAAAAGTTTGTATCACTTGTGTTGTGGCAGGCGACATCGAGTACCCCCGCTAGACCAATGGTAAAGGAGACAAACAAGGAAGGGAGGAAGCAACTGCCCTCTATCCCTGACACGCAGACCCAGGCCGCCATGGCTGCCCGCCCCAAACAGCACGGCTCCATCGTCAAGGCTAACACCAACAGCTATGGGCCATTCATGCTGGAGTACTCCCTCATGGCAGAGTAGTGAGTATACAGTACTAATATATTGTTCCATGCTACTCGAGTGCTCCCTCATGGCAGGATAGAAGTATACAGTACTAATATTTTGTTCCTTCCTACTCGAGTACTCCCTCATGGCAGAATAGTGAGTATACAGTACTAATATATTGTTCCATGCTACTCGAGTGCTCCCTCATGGCAGAGTAGTGAGTATACAGTACTAATATATTGTTCCATGCTACTTGAGTACTCCTCATGGCAGAGAAGTGAGTATACAGTACTAATATATTGTTCCATGCTACTCGAGTGCTCCCTCATGGCAGAGTAGTGAGTATACAGTACTTAAATATTGTTCAATGCTACTCGAGTACTCCTCATGGCAGGATAGTGAGTATACAGTACTAATATATTGTTCCATGCTACTCGAGTGCTCCCTATAGGCAGAGTAGTAAATATACAGTACTAAAATATTGTTCCATCCTACTCGAGTGCTCCCTCATGGCAGAGTAGTAAGTATACAGTACTAATATATTGTTCCATCCTACTCGAGTACTCCCTCATGGGAGAGTAGTGAGTATACAGTACTAATATATTGCTACATGCTACTCGAGTGCTCCCTCATGGCAGAGTAGTGAGTATACAGTACTAATATATTGCTCCATGCTACTCGAGTACTCCCTCATGGCAGAGTAGTGAGTATACAGTACTAATATATTGCTCCATGCTACTCGAGTGCTCCCTCATGGCAGAGTAGTAAGTATACAGTACTGATATATTGTTCCATCCTACTTGAGTACTCCTCATGGCAGAATAGTGAGTAATATTCAGTTCCTTCTCTCTTTAGTATGCCCTTGGTGGTCTTATTTGAGCAGTTTTCCCATTTTGAAATTGTGCTTAGCCCTTTTAATACTGTGGAACATAATGGACTCATCCAGATCAATATATGGTAGAGTTTATTAAAGTCATAGGGTGAAAGGGTTAATTATGATTGTGCTAATTGAACTTTCTGCATATTGATTTTCAATGCATTATATTGTGAATGTGCCAATCCATCAATGTGATAATCTGTTAAAATATGATTATGCTCAAAATTTTGATTGCGCCAAAATAAGTCTTAAAGTTAAAGATACCAGGTACTTTAATGGGATCAGAAAATCACTCCCGTTCCTTTAACCCTTTCACCACTGTAGACCATAATGGACTCAGTCAGATCAATGCTTGGAAGATTTTACTTAAGTTACGTAGGGGTGAAAGGGTTAAACATTATAGCAATTAATATATAGTATGGAATTCCTGTGTGTATGTGAATAAAATATCCTACAAAGGAACCCGCATATATTATATGGTCATTTGATGTCATTATTTTCTCCTCCAGTAACTTGCTGATGCAGCAGAAAACACCAGGTTGCTACGTGATTCCCTCAGCAATGTCATCCCTGGGTAAGTATGTGGCCTCTAGATCTGCTGCCTTGCTTGACTAAAGTAGTAGGGAGCCGATCATCCGAAAAACAACCGGAGACATAGAAATGGTTCGGATAATTGGTCATTTAGATAACTGGTAGTTCACAGAATTAAAGCAAGACATTGTTTAGGGGACACCACTGCCTAAAAATTGTAGCTCTATTCTGAAATATTTTTTCTGACATGAATCTAGCTTACATAAATCTTTTCTAAAAAGGAGGATATCATACCTTGCAGAACATTTGTGAAAAAACTTCACGTATAAAGATGAAATGAACAACAAAAAAATCAACGACATTGTTTCGATCGTGGGAAAATTGTAACAGGGCAAGGACTGGAACCTGGTTCTCTTATCTGTGTGTCATCAAAGTTTAAATTTCAGATATACCACAATTCTGGATTGGAATGATAGATATTGTACTGTGTTTATTGTCGGTTTTGTAACAATTTATGTTATGTAATATAGGGGGTGGGGCTTATATGTGAGCGTGGGCTTATTCTTGTGAATCTAATGTAAACCTGTTTTTTTAACAGTGTGGTATGGAGTGCTGTTTATCAGACAAGGGCTGTACCAGGAAGGAGCCTTCAAATTCACTGTTATAATTCCAGACAACTTCCCCAACGGGGATTGTCCTGTAAGTATGATGACCATGATGTAAGAGGGATGAATCCGGGGGACCCCAACCCGGGGGACCCCAACCCTGGCATCCCAACCCGGGGGACCCCAACCCTGGCATCCCAACCCGGGGGACCCCAACCCTGGCATACCAACCCGGGGGACCCCAACCCTGGCACCCCAACCTGGGGGACCCCAACCCTGGCATCCCAACTCGGGTGGAACCCCAACCCTGGCACCCCAACCCTGGCATCCCAACCCGGGGGACCCCAACCCTGGCATCCCTCCTGAAAGATGCTGGGGAAACAAAATCTAATTTGAACTTTTTAAAACAAAATAAAAAATGTATGATGACCATATGATCTCTTATGTGTGTTCTATACTTCTCAAATCAAAGAAGACCTGATACAATATACGGTGTATATTGATTTATAAGTTACTTTTGTGTATATATGGATTCTCCAGGTGTTATTATCTAACTGAAGGTAGTTTCAAATTTCAAACGACAGCTTATGTTTTAGGCCGGTTTGACCCCAAGCCAACAAAATTCAAAACAAACATTTAACCAAACTTTCGAATGACTGTTTCTTTTATTTTGAATACTTCCCCGATATTGTCATGAAAATATTCATTGGTGTTTTTTACTATGGTTCCCATAACAATGGGTTCAAATTTGCATAAATTAGAAAAAAAATGAATATCCAGTGAATTTTGTCACGTTTTTGCATAGTTTTTCTTTGAAACACTATAGAGCACTTAATTGAACAACCTTTATATTAAAGGAGAATGTAATGGCCCTGATAATACATCTTTAGTAGACATATTAAGTTTGCCTTCTATGGTAACTAAGAGAAAAAATAGGCGAAAATCTGGAAAAAAATTACTGAAAATTCACCTGGTTACCATGGTAGCCAAAATGGAAAACATAAAAAGATATTTCATAATTCATTTTTTCAAAATTTATATAAAAAAAATCCAATAATTTAAAAAAGTTAGTTACTGGTTTTAAATTTTGATGAATTTTGGTTCTAAGAAAGCCATTGATAAGTAGGGGTAATTGTGGCAGAAAAATGTGTCTTGGCCTCACTGTTTCACTTCACAGTTGTAATCATGTAAAACATTTATTTTGCAGAGTCTAGTCTTTGACCTACCGGTCTTTCATCCCCTGGTTGACCCCCTAACGGGACAACTAGACGTCAAGCGTGCATTCCAGAAATGGAGGTATTTGTGATATTTGTGATATTTGTCAGGGTTCTGTATGTACATTGGGTGCCTCGGTAGCCGTGATCGCTAATGTGCAGTCATTACATCTGTGTGCAATCAAGTGTGAGCTTCAGACCACTCTCTCTGCGAAGAATTTAGGTTCGATCCCCAGCGGTGGTGGAAAAAAGAGGAGTGAAGTCTGATAGGGTTAGTTGTCCTCTCTCCAATAGCACAGTGGTTTTCCCCGGTGGGTTTTTTCTCAATCAGGAAAACATCATTTGTTATCTTAGCAGTATCGTAATAATAGCTATACAGAGCTAAGATTTGTTGTTGACAGCGTACACGACGTTAAATAAAGATTACTTATTTATTTACATGATGTTGTTGTGATGGGTGACTTTACTTTCCCCTTCAAACCAAAAACATCAGAGAGCGAAAATGAGTGTAACCCCTGGAGAATCGAAGATGGATTTTGCCCCTTCAACACAGTCGAAATGGAGAGTCATTAACTCATTCACCCCTGAACCTTCATAATGAACTATTCCAACCTTTGAATTGGAAAAGTTCAGATGAGTCTTCAGGGGTGAATGAGTTAAGTGTTTGTGTTTTTCCACCTGTCTATCCATTATTGTCCCTCAGTGCTACATCTTGGTTAGACTTTGCGTTTAACTCCATTATGCGTAACTCATTCACCCCTGAAGACACATTTGAACTCCTCCAATTCAAAGATTGGAATAGCCCTTTGCCACATGCAAACCAATACACATGAACACTCTGTACTGATAGTGCCAAGATACATTGTTGCAATGCAACACTGCTGCACTGACTGAAATGTGTATACGCCATCTCAATGGCAGTTTTTGAGAAATTAAGTTTTGTTTTGATTTGTTTTTCTAACCTTAATTTTGAAGGTGAAATAGTTGTTTTAAGCATTTTCAGTAAGTTAAAATTATGTTCAGAATTTCTTATTGTTTAATTCAGTGCTATTTTTTCTAATAAAAACATCAACACATAACCATGAAATCAGCTGTATGTATATCAGGATAGACACATTTTAAAAAGTTTCATTTTGCTTTAATTATGATTCAATGAAATGACTCAACAATGATATTATCACTTCCAAATAAAACAACAAACCAAATTTCCAAAATTCTCACAAGAAGTTTTTAAATACAGTGTATATTTAGGCCTATATAAAATCTTTTATTACGGCAGAATTTGTATCCGACCGTTTTGGGTCAAATCTATTTTCGTTTTTCAAACGCCAGCGAGTGTGTGTCTCGGGCTATGGTGGTGAACTGATTTTTAATGAAAAAAAGATAGAAATAATCAACGGGACCTGCAGTATCAACATCAACATTTTTTCTGGAAGTATTAGCCCCGTTTTTCTAACGAAATCATTAAAATTGATTGGTGACAAATCTCGAGACCATTCAGAGTCGTCGTTACCTAATGCCGTAATGGCGGCGGGACACCCGGGCGCTGGTCATCTTTTACATAATCATTTTCGGACTTATTTCTGATGACAGTTCATTCAAAAACATCGTTAAGATCGATGTCTGACTCAATGTCATCAGGGCTGAAGCCATTAAACTATTAATCATACTCCTCCTCAAAAATGTCCAGTAACATAGTTGTGACAGTCGCCATCACGGCTCGCTGTTGTGACACTTTTCTACACTCATGACTCGCAGTTTCTAGATTAATTTATTCAAAACTATTCGTAGGAATGACGTGTACAAATCTGATTGGTCGATGCATTGATATCTTCTAAAAATAGTATAGGTGATTTCCAGATAAGTGTCGCTCTCAATCACAGAATTTTCCATGTCTAAGTTTACCGAAACGGCATGCCGTCGAGAGGCGCTTACATTGAGATAATGTAGCGGCGTCGAGAAGCGCTTACATTGAGATAATGTAGAGGCGTCGGGAAGCGCTTACATGTGGCAAGGGGTAAAGGCGTCCAGAGGCGCTTGCATGTGGCAAAGGGATAGTTCATTATGAAATTTCAGGGGTTCCATTTTGGCTGTGTTGAAGGGTATTTGGATATATCTACAGGGATTCTACACCATCGTATAGGTTTAACTGTGAACTACACTTTTGTCTTCATTAATTTTGATTAGCTACATTTCTTCGTTTAGATTTTTCATTTAGCTTCATTCCAGTCAAAGCGGAAAAGGGGTGGTATGTATGTTTCACAAACATAATTGAGTTAAATTATACTGTTTCTGATTTTCAGGAAGAACGTGAACCATGTGTGGCAGGTCCTGCTGTACGCTCGGCGAGTTTTCTACAAAATTGACAGCAAGTCACCGCTCAATAAAGAGGCTGCTGAACTGTAAGCACTGATATTGATGATTCTTTGTTTTACTGGTGTCTGTCACCACGGAGACTGGGAGCCATATTTATGAATGAGTTACAGAATGACCTTCTATCTTGAAAAATAATATTTATATAAACATCTTAACCTGGGGTATATAGATATAATAAATGTGTGTAAGAAATTAATAAATTCCAAATTATTTTTCTTGTACCAGGTATATAAAAGTTTGGCTTTTCACCAAATGATAGACGTGTTTAGACACTATATTGTGGAGCTCTGAAATTGTTAAGAAGCTTCCAAAATAAAATTGGTAAAATCCTTATTCATCAGTCAGTCATTTGATGTAAATTTAGTTATATTCATGTGCTATGCTTCTTCATATCTTTTGGTTTTGAAACATTTGAAAGTTTTTGTTCGATCACTGCATATAACATAATTCTTAATTCTGAACATGATATTTCAGATACGAAACAGACCTTGAGTCTTTCAAGAAAAACGTTGCTGAATCGGTGGAGAAGAGTAAGGAGCGGCTAAATGACCCGGTCAAGTCGGATGACCCTCACTGCCTCAGGTAGGGTTCACTAGCCTGTAGGGGTACCACACATAAAGACCAGTCCTATGTCGAGTCTGCTGGTATAGATGTATTGTCTGATATATTGTATAAATCTGAAATAGTTTAATATACGAATATATTGTCAGCTATAAAAAAAGAATTGTACAAAAGTTCTGTGATAATGTTTTTTCTGAAAAAGAATTTTGACAGTTTCTTTTTCTTCATTTTTTTTTTTTTTCAATGAAAGATCTCATATCAAAGTTTTACTTTCTATATACAAACAGTGTACGTATTAAACGTGTTGCAATGTTTTAAGACCGACTGGTTCTTTTGTCAAGCTAAGACTGACATGTGTCATAGCTTGACAAAGGGACCAGTCGGTCTTGAAACGTTGGAACACGTTTAGCACCTACACTTTTTGTGTAGAAAGTAAAACTTTGGATATTACATATTTCCAAACTGATGAATCTTATTGAAGATGAAAGATCTTTTCGATATTAATAAAGCAGAATTAACTTCATTTGTTTAAAAGGTTTAATGTTATCAGATGTTACAGCTATTTCATAATTTAAAGACTACTCTTTCAGTACAGTTAGACAAATGTTGATTAAATTTGATATAAAGCAGCCATGTGTGTTACCGGTTACATATGATAGCAACGATGTCATATTCAAAAAAATAAAATTCAGTTTCTGATGTCAACACTAATAACAACAGATAGTTTTTATCAAGCTGTAAGGAAACACCTTCTCACCAAGATGAGAATTTGTAGTTTGTTTATAAACCATGAAATACTGTCTTTACTTTAAGGTTAAGACTTTAAGGTTAAGGGTACAACTGCATTAGTTATAATCACAAAGAAAAGTTCTTTGCAAAGGTTTTTTTACTTGGGGTATTCTCCCTTCTATATAGAATATAAAGCAAACAAAAGATTGTAAGATATAACCGCTAATTACGGACTTTGTGAGATCAAATTCTGTTTTAACCCTTTCACCACTAGAGACCATAATAGACTCATCCAAATAAATGTATGGAAGAGTCTATCAAAGTTACCTAGGGGTGAAAGGGTTAAGGTAAAGGGTACCACAGCATCGAATATTATCAAAAAGAAGAATTACACTTGGGAGTTTTTTTCGACTGCTTGGAGAATTCTCCCTTCTTCATAGACAGACAGAAGATGAAGCAGAACAAAAGCTGTTTTTCTGGCTTAGAGTGACTTCCCTTGTCAAGTTTTTTGTATGTTTTGCGGCCCATAAATTTGACACTCATTTTTATGCTAATTTTACATAATTCCTATATGTTAGCATTAGCAAATTGTAGGCTTTGCACTGTAAATGTCCTGAGTTTGACTCCTGCATTTTCTTGTTTTCTCATTTAATCTCTATTTTCAAGCATTCAAATTACAACAATTTCTACAATTTTGTAAATGCTTTTCATCATTATATATTTCTGTTAAAAGGGACTTGGAGATTAGACAATAGTGAAAGTATGGTAATATTTACCAGTAAACTTGTTGGTACCCTTTACTTTAAAGGATCGTTATTGTGAAAAGGATTATGTAGGGTAAACCTGGAGAAGAGATTAGTGAGTTTTGGTGCCGATATGGTGTTGTAGTCATTCATGAAACCTAGAACTACTGACGATTTGTTTGTTTGTTTGTGATGTTAACATGTGTCTATGCCGATATATACAAATTAGGTTTAGCCCCTGGGACCCCTCAATTCACGAGGAAAGTCGACAACAAATGCTGAAGACGAAGGTAATGGGTTCAGGTAACTGCTTGGTGTGGTCTGGGTATAACACCTTTTTTACAAACATTCTATTGACTATGATTTAACATTTTGCATGTTGGATGTTTTGTTTGGTACCCAGCTCCTCCAACAGGTTGCGTAATATATTCAGTTCCCTTTTAAAAGTTTGGATGTTGTTTAAAAATCATTTGCAAAGTATTTTTGCATTTAATTTTAGTTTGAATGAGATCATAATTTTTCAGAATTTCCGATTGTGACTGGGTATCAAATGAAAACAATCACCCCAAAGATTATTTCCCCTTATTTGAATGGACCATTTTAATGAAGAATTTTTGTTTTGGAATATTTAATGTGAAGTTAATGTTAATTGATGATTTTGGTTAACTAATCTTTGAAGTGATTGTGGTATTGGGTTTGCTAAATTGTATGTTCATTGCTATCAAAATTTTAACATCTTGTTAAAAATAAAAAATAAATGGAAATATATGTAAATAACGGAGTTTTTAGATTTTCATGTGCATACATGTAGCAAACCCATTATAGATATTTTATCAAACAACTTGATATTGTCATTCACAAACATGAATTGTCTGTAGTATTGTTGGTGAGAGAAACTGTAACACTTGGTAGATGTCTATAGATTGGGTATAGGTGTGAGGTGTGCATGTACTATCATAAACCTTTGGTACACTTCATGGTAATACCTGGTTATTAGTCCTCCCCTGGCACTACCGGAGCAATCTATGGGTTTACACCCTGTCTGCCAGTCCTTGTTGGTGTGCGAAAACCTGTGGAGATTGCGGAATTTCACTTACTGAAATCATGTCTTTGTTCCAAACAATAAACAGAGTTACGGCCCTTTGTTCATGTTTGATACCAAACTATGTCCAACGACAGAAAACATTGGATTGGAATATTTTCTATGTACCTAGGGGTGTTAATTAAATAAGAAACATTCTATTCCGGTACTGGTAATCACAAAGATTGTGAGAAGGAAAATATCGTTTTGATGTTCAGGTTTTAAATATGAAAAAATACTTCTAAATATATATTTTCTGCTAACCTAAAAATTGATACAGTTTAACCAGGGACAGTATATAGAGGGGATTGGCAACTCTGCCCCAGTCAAGATTCTATAGCACGTCGCTTTTGTGTTTGTTCACCGAACCGCGAAGTCATCGAGAGCCCCTCTCGATCAGCCCGCGCTTGCGCACTAGCGTTAAAATTAAGCACGCACCTGCTTTCGGTGTCATGTCACAATCTCGCCGAGATCGAAGTGTTTTGATAACGGTTAGCCCTAATTGGGACTGTGTATTAGTAGGTCTTCTTTTTATTCCAGGGACAGGGCTATCGTTGCCACTATGTCTAGCCTTTCGGCTGTGTTGGTGGCTATTACAACAAATCACATTTCGTAAAGCACGTTCCAGTGAAAATAATGCTAATATTGACACTTTTTGACACAAAAACAGCACAAGTTATTTGTTATTTTTTGCCATAAAAATTAGTACTACATATCAAAAAATTATTCAACTTTCTATCGCTGTAAATTTCAAAA